CAGGGTGCTGCAGCAGACAAGAGACAGGCTCACCAGGATCCCCCACAGCCGAAACCTCGCAGCCTGAGCAGCCGCCTCGTCGTCACCATCTCCTCCTGTTGCTGCTGGTGCTGCTGCGCCGACTGCTGCTGCTGCTGTGGTCGGGCAGCAGCAGGGACCTGCTCTCTGCGCCTCGTTGGCATTGGACCACTGTTACGTGGACCAAGAGGCGTGGTGCCGGACAGACAGAGAGAGAGGGAGAGAGAAAGGCAACCGCACCAAGTGCGTGTGCGCGTTGTTGGTGTTGTTGTTGTTGTTGTTGTTGTCTTTACATTACAAACCGTTCCGATCTCTCTCTACCCAGTACCTTCGTATGTCCGTACTGATCCAACACTGGACGCGGTCGATTCCCGTGTGTTGGAGATACGCGGAGAAAGAGGAGGGACAGCAGTGTACCAGCGAGATAGGCAGCGAGCACGGGGCTGTACAGCAGTAGTTGGGTATGAAATTTCGAAGAGCCAGGCCAGATTCTCACCCGTGTGGAACGAGACTCGTACTATGTACTCCCTGGTACCACCCGCGAGATGTATGTGCCGGGGCATGAAGATGTCTGAAAGGAGTGGAGTGCGATATTCGCTGCTCCACAAACATGGCCCCCACTAGCAGCACTAGTTAGAGGGAGGGCCACCACAAGAGAACCAGCGCAGCACAAGGAATTGTGTGTGCATGCCTTCAACAACCTTATTTCGGCTTCAACAACTGAGCCTGCACACAGAGCCTAGGATACACAACAGGAGCCCTACCTCGTAGAGCATGGAATCGTCATCAGATGGCACGCTCACCTTCGCTCAGGACGAACGATACTTCAAGCCCAGAGAGGCAGAGAGTTTCCATAAAAAATGTGACGATATCCAAGGAAGGAGCGCTGACCTCTTCGTTCGTCGTGCGAACACGGGCGGAGAAATATCTCCGTTCCAACTCCTTTCTCAACCGTGCAGGGGGGCTACCCACACCAGTTATACCGTGGGGCCCCCAACGATCACTTGTCGCATGTGTCATCAGCTACTGCGGCATGCTGCAGTGTGTCGTGAGTCGTGAGATGGTGATTTGAGACTCGTGCTCTGCTTCACCATATGCCGAACATTTTTCCACAGGCCGGCAGGCACGTGCACGAGCGTGACGTCTGTGCTCAGCTATTTGTTTGCTGTGCATGTTTCGAGCACTTGACGTGATGACCCCTCTCTCTCTTTTCGACGTTTATTATTGATTTTCTCACTATACATCAGTGGATATATATATGCACCGGAAAGCAGAAACAACCTCGTTTCACCCACGTACGCTGGTACTTTGTTAACTGTCAGCATTTTTTTGGGAAACATACAATGCACACACGAGCTGAGCGTCGTGTATCTTGTCGATGACTGATGTACAGCAGTACCCAGGTGCACAGACAGATAGGCTATGTTTGCAAAGACGAGACGAAGCACAGCATGAATGTCAGTCAGTCTTGGTAGTACTCGAGAGAAATGGATCCAGTGCGAGGTGAGTGAGGACGACGAACATAAGAGTGTCAGCAACACCTGCCTACCGGAAAAAACTACGGAAATGTATTTTCTTTCCAGCGCGAGGATGGTTGGGGTCGAGCAAACATCAAGGGAACGCACAGAAACGGCCTCGCGCTAACGACTTGCAAGCTGCTTCTACTGACCTTCGTCGTTTAGTGTGAGAGTACTTTTTTATCCTTTTCGACAACCAGTTAAGGAAATATCCAACCAGTTCGCCTGAAGATGGTCTTTTGATCAAACGACAGCAGGCCGGGGCTGGCTACGGGGTCGTCGCCATATTTCTTGTGCCTACCATCATCTTGCGACAATCCTTGCCTTCATCACAACATGGACGACACGCACAAGCGTTTCATGCGGGACAACAATTCGACCAAATCCCGAAAACAAAACTACCGCTCCAGCACAACGGCAGTATTGCAAAGGAAAACACCCTGCATAATAAAATAGATGTAAACCGCACCCATTGCTATTACTATCGTGTCCACGAACGAACGCGAAGTACTTGCTACGTACACTGATGAAGTTCTGTGCGAGTTCGACCTAAAATCGACCCAAACGTTTGTGATGGTTCGCGCATTATACACGGCAGAAAACACCCTTGTTCCGCTTGCCGTGTTAGTACTATTGTAGGACTTGCTCTCCCCCTGCCTTTGTATTATATTGCTTCGCCACTCTTCCAGGAATAGACATCAAGACCAATTCTTCGTCCTTCTCCTTCCGCGTTCTCCACATCAGCCCCGCGCGTTCTGCTGGTCCAGGAGGTTGCTAACTACTTTCCCGAGCAAGTGAAAGCGAGGCCAAGAAACAGCTCCCGCCCCTGTCCCCCCCCTCCCACGCCGCCGAGAAGAACAAGTGCGCTGACCGCTTGACTATCATCACTGAGAGGTACACAGGGGGGTGGGGTGGGTGGGTGGGCGGGCAGGTCGTGGCGAAAGCGGAATAGCACGCGGGTACTTCGTTCATTCATGTGTTGTACACTGCTGCAGGCTGCCCGAAGAATAGCGGGAACAGCCCCAACGCCTTCCCTCTATGCGTGCAGAGAGAGCCTCAAGCCCGAACATAAACCAATCCGTGCTTCAGCCAGCACAAGTTTGCCTTTTGCTTCTTTTGTTGCACGACGACGATTGCAGAGTACCCAGAGACGCTTAGACCTTGAGGAAAGCCGTTCACTCCTCAACAGCTCTCCCTGGAGCTGGGATCCAAAACCTCTGCAGCATTCTATCGATAGTTGCAGGTATCCTCTACAGGTCAACAAGATAGTGTCAATAATTTGGATCCTGGTCGATATGAACCTGGCGCTGAGGGGTCGGCTCCTTGCTGACCCTCACTGAGATCGGATGTAGGTTTCGGTCGCATCGGGATGTTTCAACAACTTTGGAGAAAGAACACGTGCAGGGCGTGATTCTCCGCTACCATTGCTCCGCAGCTACCTTTGAACAATCGCTGGTGAGACTTCATGGTGGGAATCCAAAGTTGCCACAACCTTTCTGTGTCGTTGCTATATGTCCCTCGATTTCTTGTGCCGAGTCCCGAGCGATGCCGTCATCTCTTTTCGACTCAGACCTGACACGTGAAGCTTGGTGCTGAGAGCTGTGTAGAGAGGCTTCAAGTACCAGCACCTTCAGCTGTGATGACATGACATTTGTCTGGCCCAGAGTACAGTAAGGGCACAAAACCTACCTACGAATGCAGAATGGGACATGTCCGAGATCTCCTGCTGGTTAAGTATAAATCCGAGGCCTGATTGAGTTGTTGCGCTGGTTGGGACCGAAGCCCATCCAACTGGTGTGTATCAGGGCGGCCCAAAATAGGCGGCGAAGGAATAAATAGTTTCCAAGAGTAAGAAAGTCTTCCACCTTTACGGTTTCTCTTTTCAACTTGTACGGGCTGAAGCATGGGCATTCCCCTTTTCGCACCCATCCTGATTTCAACGTACGACGGATGAGACCTCGTACCGTTGGCAACATATTGCTGTAGATCCAAGACCTCAAGGCAAAACCACAGAACGCGGTCGAAGTCAACGACTGACCGCCAGGTACAGCAGTGCTGCCACCGTCAATGCAAACCACGCCTTCGAACATGCACTTCCGAACGAGACAGATGGCTGTGAATGCGCCAAGAGTTTTTTGTCAACGCCCCGTCAAGCCCGCGTGTCTGAACAACAAAACATGCAGTACTCAAAGAAGGAGCCCCAGCCCGCCCTATTTCTTGGCTAAAGAAGAACCTACCAATAGGTGCAGCAGCGGCAAGTCCAGCTAAACTCCTTTGAGCTTCCCGTGATTCAATATGAATGGCGACGCCGTAGAATTGTATTCAAACTAATACAGCAGTACAACGTTCTTAGTAAACCATAATCGACTTCGTAAGTCGCGAGGGAAGGGATTGCTGTACCCTTCTCGCGATATAAATACCCCAGGCAGGAACCGCAGGAGGGGGTCCAGCCCCCCCCCTCCTATGTGACCCCGGTTGGGTCGTCTAGCTAGTAGAAGTGGAGGATAGGGGCCAGAGGGGCAGACGACAGAGTCCAATGATGGAAAAAAAAAAAAGTACAACGACAGACCAACTAACAACAGTTTTCAACGGGAAGCGGCGAAGTTGTAGAGAGGATGGTGTGGCACTACACGTAGAATAAGACAGCGTGGCGTCAGCCACAACAAACGAAACCAAGTACCTGAACGTTACTCTGTTGGCAGAGTACGGTACATAGCCACCAGCGAACCCTTCACACCCTCCGACATGTCCTCACCTGTACCTGTCTACCGTACATGACACAAGATAACACACCCCCTTGGCCAGTTTTCGAAGCTCAATTTCTTAACTGCAGGAACAGTCACAGCGCCGAAAGCGGCGGTGTTGAAACCGTCTCGTCGAGAGCTTTTCGAAAATATATCGTTTCGTTAATGCATCCTCTTCGTCGTGGAGTAATCGAGCTTTGAAACTCGGTCCAGGGGGTGTGTTATCTTGAGTCATATACGGTATGCTGTCTAGACGCAGGGGTTTCTATCCGGCCTCCTCTGGCCACATAGTCTAATGCTCTTTGTGCTGTAGATCCCAACCCCAGTCGCTGCACAGGCTCGTCGGGATCGGACACACCTGGTGTACAACAGTCTAACTGTCGCAGAAAGACGTTGTTCTTGTCCCCCCCGTCGTCTCCAGCTTTGGGATCTCCAAGGGAATGGGAATCCGCTAGCCCTGTCCGAAAATCCAGCAACAGCTTCTGGGGGAGGACTCCATCTTCACAGAAAAACGTGTCCTCGCCACCCAAGGTATGAAGCGGCTCCATGTAGGAACTTGCTCCCACCTGCATCAAGCGCGGCTAACGAGCCTCTTGCATCGATACATTTGCCCGCGCGGGCAATGAGCTAGCAATGATCTGATGCCCCGACTCAGGCTTTCGTGGTAAAGAGAGCATGGCCAAGCATTTTTCATGCGGGCGGGGGGTGGCCGCCTCTGCTGTGACGTTCACCAGTCTCTCCGGCGGGGCACGGTGGCTCAGGATTCCCAACCTTCTCCCTGGATCTCTCCACTCCGCATCATACGAAAGGTGGTCATTCCGAGCAGCTCGGGTGGAGTTGCGAGATCCGGTAACGGCCTCGATACGTGCGGCGCCAGGTGAGAGGTCGAGCACGACATCGTCAGCCGCTGAAAGACCGCACTATGAGCGGCGGGGCTCGCTGGAGGCTGTAGCCGGTACTCTGCCTCGCATTGTCCTCCCGTTGACGAGAACACGATGGGGTGGCCGCACATCCTCTTGCTCAAGGCTATTCATCACCCATCCCCTGCTGAGCTTGCTCGCTCTACATATTCCCCGCCTTCTTGCGGCCTACCCCAGAAGATGCCCTAGTGCTTGCACCCAGTGTAAACAACAACATCACCGGTGGTTGCACCCTGTTGCTTCGGACATTTCACAGAGATTGTCTGCAGATTTCCACTTCCTTGGGCCTCTTCATACTTTGCAAGGTGCCGTTTGGCGCAGCTCGGGGGTGGCCAAGCTTCTGTCCCATCCTCCCTCCCCCCTCTCTCCCTCTAAAGGCTTCCTGGACGACACAGCGGGGAAGGACGGACGATCATCGCTTGTGCAGGTGCGGGAGCGTGCGCCCCAAAGTTGAATTATCAGACGGTCACCCGGGTATAGGCACTCTTGCCCCATGATGTCGCGGAGCCGCTGAGTGACACTTGAAGGGGCCAGGGAAGACACCACCACTGCTGTTCACTACTGCTGTGCCGCGTAGTGCAGCAGCGTATGTCATTGCACACACAGCAGGGACCGACACAAGCATGCCGTGCAGTTCTTTTGTCGCGACCACGTTCTTCGTCCTTTGTTGCGCCGTTCGCCACACGACAAATGGATTTCCATCAGCTCCCGCGCCAGGCTTGTTCGGAAGAAGCACGCCTAACGGCCTTGGATCGTGGAGGGTGGAGTCGGTGTTGGACAGCCAGAAGCCCAACAGCATGTTCGTGTTTCTGTTCGACGATGGATCAGGTGACTCTTCTATTGGCACACAGCGTGTGAGCATGTATTAGCACAAGAGTTGTTGTCGTTCCTCATCGTTTGTTTTTTTTTCTTCGACCAATAACCAGAAACGGGTATACCCGGGTAGTTCTCACCACTTTAGGGTACAGTTAGAAATCAACGCGCTTGCGCCCCCAGGCTGGCAGCTGATTGGCCGAACAAAAAAATGTATCCACTTTTGAAGAAACCTCCATCAGGTACAACTTCCGCTGGAATTAGGACCCTCTGTTTTGACCGATATTGGTTACTGGTGTACCCGGAAGAGGTCAATTTTGTACCCAAAAATGGTCATATAATCCCGGCGCCCGACGCTCTACATTAAACCCGCAGAAAAAAACGTGTGCCGCACATACCGTGTACCGCACATACATAANCCCGGAAGAGGTCAATTTTGTACCCAGAAATGGTCATATAATTCCGGCGCCCGACGCTCTAGCATAAAACCCGCAGAAAAAAACGTGAACCGCAAATACCATGTACCGCACATATACAACCACAACCAAACCACCAACAACGCTCGCTCGTTCATCGTTCATGGGCACCGCCTCCATAGGATACCGGCCCTTCTCAACACAGGGTCGGGCCGCTTGACGCGCGAGTACTTCGGTACGGTACTGATCAGTAAAAGCACACAAGAGAAAGAGAGAGAGGCACAGAGAGACAGAAAAACGGGCACGACCTGCCTCATGCATCGTGCTTCCGAGGCACAGGACACACAGGACACAGACAGCGGTCTATTGGTTTCGCCGCGATCTACGATCTACGGCGGATGCTGTGGAAGATTGGTGTCGTCTTGATTTCCAAGTGTGCCCTGAAATGGTGATAATCTATCCAGATACCGTAAATGACACAATATAAGACACCTACACAATATAAGAAACCCCCCACAGTACACTGCTGTGCATGCTCGGCATAGATGTGTTCCACAGCGGGATGCGACGTCTCGTTGTGCATGTTGTACGACATGATGTTTTGTTCTCTACGTTGGATGGCGGGAGCTGTACTCACGACACCGTGCATCGGTTTGGAGATCTCAAACTAGGCCGTTTTCTACCTGCCGGACAGAGCTCGCGCAGCACCGAAGCGCCGCAAGGCGCACTTTCAGCCACAGAGGTGGTCCTTGGTATCCTGTGCCGCGACGACACCGTTACGTACTAATGACAGGCTCCGGTGATTTTGATGTGTTGCATGGTGCGAGAGGCACTCACGAGGCAGCTGTGCGTATCTGCACAACTCCCCCCACCCTGCTGCTGTACACTGCTGCTGTTGTTGCTGCAGTGCAGCGGTGATATTGGTTCGACCACTACTGTTCATGACCAAGATACGATTTCAAGGCACGAACTGGTACCAAATTGGAAATATGCACATGTCCCTTGTCTGGCTCCGGGGGGCGTGCTTTTCAACGCGTTGCGACCGAGCTCTACTGTACTCCCCTGGATGGTGCCTCTCGGCACGACAGCATGCATTCACACATTTGGTTCGTGTTGCGACTAGACTGCGTGTGTGAGGTGGTGTCTACATAAAGCGTGTATTTCAGATGGATCCAACCTAAGGGGGGAGGAGTCTGAAATTGGCGTTGACCAATAACCAGAAATGGGTATACCCGAGTACTTTATCACCACTTTGGGGTACAGTTAGAAATCACCACGCTTGCACCCCCAGGCTGTCAGCTGATTGACCGAAAAACCATGGTACCCATTTCTGAAGAAACCTGTCAGGTACAACTTCCGCTGGCATTAGGACCCTCTGGTGTGACCGATATTGGTTGCTGGTGTACCCGGAAGAGGTCAATTTTGTACCCAGAACTCAAATGGTTATATAATCCCGGCGCCCAACGCTCACGCTCTAGCATAAAACCCGTCGATAAAAACGTGTGCCGCACGTACCGTGTACCACACATACATAACCACAACCAAACCACCAACAACGCTCGCTCGTTCATCGTTCATGGGCACCGCCTCCATAGGATACCGGCCCTTCTCAACAGAGGGTCGGACTCGCTTGACGCGCGAGTACTTCGGTGTGGTACTGATCAGTGAAAGCATAGAGAGAGAGAGGCACAGAAAGAGAGAAAAACGGGCACGACGACCTGCCTCGTGCATCATGCTTCCGACGCACAGGACATACAGGACACAGACAGCGGTTTATTGGTTTCGCCGCGATCTACGGTGGATGCTGTCGGAGATTGGTGTCGTCTTGATTTCCAAGTGTACCCTGAAATGGTGATGATCTATCCGGGTATACCCGTTTCTAGTTACTCCTCATTGGTGTTTATTGGAGTTGATGTTGTTGTTGTTGTTGTTGTCTTCACATTGAAAACCATCCCGGCTCTCTATCCAGTACCTCCTTCTGTCTCAATCTCTCCGTACTAATCC